GCGGGTTTCCCCAGCAGGCTTCTCTGGAGACGGGGTTCACTGGGGCGGGCAGGGCCTTACTCCACCAGCTTTCAGAATAAGCACTTCATGGGACAGAAAGAAATGCCATCCACCCAGCTGAACCTGAGCCTTGTAACAGAGAGGGGAGTGTGTGAGGAGAACAAGAGGGAGCTCCAATTAATTAGCCTTAGAAGCAAAGGTAAAAGTTGAAGATTACGAGACCTATTTACAGGAGGAAATAGACCCATCATTGAGCCTAGAGAATGGAAGGATTGTTTAGGGCCAGAAAGCGTCTCAATGTTCGGATTCCATTCCTTTTCTGGAGCTTCGGCGAGAGGAAGGTCATAGCTTGGGTTTGGAAGGTGCACTTAGCAGTGGGTTCAGCCCGAGGGGGGCTGTTGTCTTGGGTCCAGTTCTGGGCCCACATCCTGCCCCCACCCTGAGGGAACAGAGCCCCGATCCTCTCTGGGGGTTGACGTGGGCTGGCCAATGAAGGGTGCCCTGTGAGAGAGGCCCCTCCATTACCATCACAACGGCTGATGTCACAGACCCCCCAGAGCAGCTGGGGCCCCGAATGCAGGGTAACCCTAACCCCACCAGCGATTGAAACAGATAGAGGGGTAGCTCTCCCACACAATGCCCGGGCCCCCACTTCCCTCCTCCTCCTCCTTCCACTTCCTCAAGAGTCTTTGTCTTATGGTCCCTCGGGCCCGGAGCCTCTCTCATTCCTGGCGAACACTGCCCATTAAATTAAAAACTGAGGCCTTTGGGGAAAGGGTCTGGCACTTTCTCCCCGTCCCCCCCTTAGCTGCCCCTGGCCAGTCCCCACCCTCAGCTGCCTGCTGAGCAGATAAGAAGCCCAGCGTTGAGAAAAGGGGCCAGCTGGTGACGGCTTCACATCGCCCTGGCTTGGTTTGGCCGCCCCCTCAGAGCACCCCACAAGCCTGCCGGCCCCTCTCTGGACAAGGCCTTGGGCCAGACGAGCCAGGCAGTGCTCGCAGCTTTGGGAAACGTCCCGGGTGAGTCGGGTCCAGTGTGGCTCTGACAGCCCACGCCCGTGGACCGGCTCTCGTTTGCCAACCCCTCAGCAGCTGGGAATGTCCCTCGACACCCTCACCTGGTTTGGGAACAGCGCTGGGAATGAGGGCTGCGCTGGCCCTTGGTGTGACCTGGGGTTCACGCGAGGCTCCTGGAAAAGGGGGGTGGCAGAGCTCCAGGTCTTGCCATCACCACAGGAGGCAGGGACAGGAGTAACTGCTCAGGCCTCCGGCGTTCCCTCACCGGAGATCTAATTTCCAAAGGGATGGGGTGATTACTCAGTGTTTTAGTCTTGAATCTTCCTTAGACATTGATGAAAGCCATGCACCTCCTATCCAGGAAAATGGGTGGATGTCATCTGAGCACAGGTACACGCATGCACATGTACACACACGCTCACACACATTCTAAAGGTTCATGGACCCCGGAGAAGAACTCTCAGGTTCTAGGAGGAGGCACACGTTTTGGCCCCAGCACGAGAGCAGAAAAGGTGGCAGGGGCGCCGAGGCGAGACCCCCAGGACCGGCCGTAGTGTGAGCTGGCAGTCGGCTGGCTCAGTTGCAGGGCTTGTACCTGTTCACGTACCGGGGCTCAAGGGGCCTCACTGCTAACCCTGTGCAGGGCCTGGGGAGGGACAGCGGGAGGTAGAGCAGCTCTGGCCGCTTCTGTCCAAGGCTCAGACACAGGTGTGTTTTGGAAGTGGAGGTGAGGGAGGAAACGGCCTTAAATACATGTGCGATGTCCAGGTACCGGCTAAGTATTTTCACCATCTGGAGCTTATTCACACTTCACAACCACCGCCCTGGAAACTGGGGACTACTATTCTGCTTTCATGGAGCAGGATTATGAGATTCAGGGGTGTCGAAGGTCATCCAGACATTGAGAGTAGGGCAGGGGAGGAAACCCAGGTCTCTCAGACATCAAAGCCCAGTTGCAATATTCAGACTTCTCCCCATCCTATTGCCGTGGCTATCACGCCAGCGAGGGGACAAGCAGGTGGGTGCTGCTCTCCCGCTGTGCCCACGCACGGTGTTCCAGATGTGCCCACCCGGTTCCTCACTACCCTCTCAGCACACACCTGGCTCGTGCCGACTTCCCACTCTAGTGTGGTCTGCACCGAGAAGGCTCCCACAGCTTAACCAGGTTTGCATTTAGTTCCTTCAAGGCCCAGGAACTAGGAACTAGCATCCGCTCTCTGGGCCGTCTTCACTGACCAGGCGGGTCTCCACAGCCGGCCAGAGACCTGTCCCTCTCCCCCTCCGGGCTCTAGAACAGGATCCGCACCCCCAGGCTGGCTCTGTCGGGGCTGATTCCACACCACTCTCTCCTGACTGGGAACCTGCCCCCAGCAGGGCTGGGGTTCAAAGGCACTGGGCCTCGCTGGCGCTACACATGAATCAGGCATGTCAAGGGTTACTCCTCTTGGTGACAAGGCCAGTGGGAAAGGTAGAGGCAGGACGACCTCCAGGAGTCCGGGATGTGTCCAAGGGCTGCCTGCCTGTCGGGAAGGCCGCTGTGCCCCCAGCCCCGGTGGCCGCCTGCCTCCCCCGGGCACACTGTGCAGAGGGCAGGACAGACACCAGGAGACGACACGAGGCTTCTGAAAACAGGTACAAGGCTTTCTCGTTTAATAGCAGTTACAGGAGGAGAACGTACAGGAGGAACACACATGCTCTTTCCACATGGAGGCTTCCCGGTGACCAGAGGCCCATCCGCAGCGGCAGCTTCACTGTGAAAGTTTTAACAAGGTCCCTTTAGAGTTAAAAATGGACTTTCCTACATTTCCTCAGTAAATGTGCAACTGTTTGTGCAAAATAGAAAGGCCATTTTCAGCACATTAGTGGAAAGGAATTGTGAACTCAGGCAAAAAAGAAGAGGCCATGGAAGCAGCCGGGGCAGAGACGGGGGAGGGAGGGGAGGGGTTTCTGCAGCAAGCGCAGGGCACGTGCTGAGGCCTCCGAGGAAGGTCACCGCCAGTGCCGATCTGGGGACAAAAGACCCCGGGTCTGGGACTGGCCGAGCAAGCTCGGGTCAGGGGTGCAGGGAGCGGGGCTGGCTTTGCAGCTGGGAGGCCGTTGGCCTGGTGGGCACTGGAGACCCTGGGGAATGCTCCCTGAAGCCTTACAGCCCCTTTGCCAACAGGGACTTCGCTGGTTCCAATGTCCAGGTCCTGTTTTCCCCACCGACCAACAGCTTCATTGACAATCTACTCAAATGAATTTTCCCACGAATGTTAAACTATACAAGCTCCCTCTGTTACTACTGAAACCCACCAGGGTCCCAAAACAGACTGTCCTTTCGGGAACATCTTCCCTAAGAACTTGGCCAAGGGTTCACGCCAACTAACCACCCACTCGCACCCTCTTGTTGCGGCCTCCAGGAACTTCCACACCTCTGGGCAGGGGGGCAGGGGGGTAGGGGGGCAGGGGGGCAGGAGCTTAGGTGTCGGAGGGCCCCCTGCTCCGCACGGGCTGGCCCAGCGAGAGGCTGGCGGACAAAACTAAAACATCCTACGTTGCCAACGATCTGGACCGCGCTGGTCCCCGCCTCCCTTCCCCTGCCCACCGAGAGTGTGGGCAGACAACTCAGCAGCTGGACTCGGGGCAGATGAGGCCGACCGAGAGGGAAGGGCTGCACAGGGTCCACCTGCAGGAGCCCTGCGCGGGATGGGTGTCCCTGGGAGGGCCGCTGTGAGCTGGTGCAGGACGCCCCTGCTCCCCGCCCCTCACTGTTCCTCCCCAGCAGTTTTCCAGGACGACGCTGTGAGACCAGACCGCTTAGGGCCACTCCGTTCTGCTTCAGGGTCTCACTGCTCAGGGCTGAGGGGATCTTTCTGCAAACTGGGGACGAGGGAAGGAGGGTGTTTGGGGCCCCTTTTAAGCAATGGGACGTCAGATTAGGGTAATCATTTCTCACTTTTTCAATAAAACCCAAGGCTTGGGAGACGACATCTTGGGTTCATCCCTGGCCCCCTGCCTCGCCCTGGCTTTGGAAGCTCTGGGTGGCCGCATGCATCCCTGACCCTCGTCCTAAGACCCCGCCACAAGCCCAGGTGAGCGTGCGAAGGCGGCCGAGCCAGCGCACCCTTGCTCCGCTCCTGGGGCGGCTGCGGTCTGTGCACATGCTCTCCCGTGTGTTCACGCTGTGATGAGCTAAGGGGGGAGCGGGAGTGAAAAGGAAGCACTGCGCCCCCAGAAGCAGCTCCGCAGCTGACAAAGGCAGTGGAGACTCTCTGATGTGTCTCCCCCACTGAGCAGCTGGAAACACCTGTGGGCTCGTGTGGCGATGCGGTTACAATCCCGCCAGCAGCCACAACAGCGTCTTCCTGAATGTCCTCAAGCACAGGCTCCCGACCGGCCTCACAGCCCAGCCTGAAGTCTCAGGAGCATCTGGACAGAGACCCGCTGGCTGGTCTGCTCCCTATGCGAACTGCAGAGTTGGGGGATAGGACTAGAGACGATCTTTCTCAGACGAGGCCGAGAGATGGCTATGGGGGTCTCAGAAGGGGAGCCCCGGGCCTGACTTTGTGGGACAGCTGGGCTGGAGGCCATGGCTGGCCCAGTCCCCTTCACGGCAACAGGGGCTCCATCACCAGAGGTGTCCCGCCCAGCAGCGGCTGCCCTACTGTGCAGAGCTGGTGACATTCCCTTTAACGATGGTGGCCAGAAGCTGACTTTGAAACACAAAGGAACGTCGCAGGTCACGCCCAGGTTTCACCTAAGGGTAAAGTAAGGGCCGTGCCCAGGCTTCCGGAATCTGAGCCACCCCAACGCCAGTGCTGGAGGAGGCCAGTCTGAGACTGAGGACCTGTGGAAATGACCGCTGACCTATGCCCTGAGCCCAGGGCCTGGCCCTGACAGGAAATGAGATGAATAGGGAAGGGGCTGGGGCTCTCGGTCCACCCACACTTGCCTGCTAGTGGGGGGGGGGGGCGCACCTTACAGTTAGCCATGGGGGCCATTTATTGCCACTGCATACTCGGCTGTATCCGGCCACAAGAAAATTAGCAGCAAAAGCACTGGGCGAGACCTAGGCTAGAGAAACTGCCACCCGTGGGGCACTGAAGATGTCACCTTGCCACATGCCCTGCTGTTCAGCAGCTGGTGAGTCAGTGGCCAGGATTTGCACCTCCAGACCTGGGTGCCGGTCAGTGCCCCGAACAGCATGTTTCCCAGGCCCTCGCCCTGCGCCAAGGAGAATCAGCCCGCCCAGGTGGTGAAGGGGACAGCCAGGCGTGAGCAGGAGATACTAGATCATCCTTCTGCCTGCTCACCTGACCTCCCCGTGCCAAGTACACATTTTGTCTGTGCAGCTCCTAAGCCCCAGACCTCAGCTCCAGAGTCACAGGTGAACGGTTCCTCAAACGGGACGGATGACACCACACATCTAGGATGAAACAGGTAGTGTAGCAGGAACTTCCCCCGAGTCCCAGCCCAGCAACATCTCATATGCTTGCTCACTCTTGTGCCTCTACTGCTACAGGGAAAGGTTATGCGAATACTGTACATAGGTTATTAAAAAAATACATTTTCTCTCTTTGAAGAAGAATGCACAAGTGCAGAGCCAGCCGGGCCGGGGCCCGGGCTGCGGGGCTGCCACGAGCCAGCGGCCTCTGTGGGCGCGAGGCCTTCACGAGTGGTGGCTGCCGATGAGTCCGCGGAGCTGCTTGGCCACAGTGTCAATCAATTTCTGTTTGTCTCGCTCATTTTTACGAAACTGTGCAAACATGTTGTTCTTGCGGCTAGTGTCCTTCATCCTAAACAGAGAAGGAGAGAAAGCGAGGGTTGAGGAGGCGGTGGTGGAAGGGGGTCGGCACAGTGTTCCCCTGCCGCCCAGAGCCGACAGTGCGGAACATTCCCAGGGGAGTACCTGTTCTACAGGAGGCTGCCCTGCTGGCACCCAGTCCCCCCAAAGTCACTCACCTTTGGGAAGAGTGAGGAGCCAGCTCTGGAGGGGTGAACCCCCTCCTGGTCCATACCCGCCCTCCCTACTTCATGCCTTCTGTCTCCAGGCATGCCCCCGTTACAGTGGCACCCGGGACACGCTACGGCACGATGGTCAAAGGCTCTCACAGAGCCCTGGCCGGGGGCTCAGCTGGTTGGACGTCGTCCATGCACTAAAAGGCTGCAGCTCAGTCCCTGGGGGGGCCTTAGGAGGAGGCACTGACTGATGTTCTGCTCTCACATCGATGTTTCTCTTTCTTCCCCTCACTTCCCCTCTCTCGAAAAATCAATTTATTAAAGAAAAAGGCTCTTACAGAATGTCTAGGATCCACTTATCACCTCATATGCCTACTTACTCCTGCTGGGACCTTGGAGCTGGTATTCGAAAGGCAGAGCAGGAAAATGCTCTTAACCAGCCATTCTGCAGGACGTGGAAAACAACGCCACTGTTAACCGCAGGCCCCGCCGTCGCCGGTCACTCTGCCCCACCTCTGACGAAAGCGAGGGCTCAGAGTGAGGAAGCGGAGGCGGGAGGCGGCCAGGAGCGCATGTGCTGAGAAAAGCAGACGAGCCCCACTCCCGCCCCATAAACCAGGGCTTCTGGCAAGAGAAGCCGCCCAGTGCTCAATGGCTTCTATGTCCTCAGGCCTTTGACCTGTGGGGAGCTCTCTATTGCGAGGCCACACTGAAGGCCCAGAGTTATTCCTGGAGCACAGGCCAGCTCTGGCCCGGGTCCTGTCAGACGGAGAGACATAGCCGAGAAGCATGGCTAAAGGAGGTCAAGGCCAGGCTGAGGCTGACCGCACTACAGCCGCGGCATCCAGGGACCCGCTGCTCCCTGCAGAGGGCTCACGCCCGGCCAGGCAGCTCCTGGCGACGGTTACCCTCGGTCCTGGCCTCTGCGCTCCGGCCTCCAGCCCTCAGCTGGTGACGGAGAACTGAGAACCTGACCAGACCAATTTCTCCGGGTGGGGCAGGGGTCTTCACCCCCATCTGCTCTGACCTCATAGCTCCCGGAAGGCAGGGGGGCTGGCGGCTGGCAGGGGCGGTAAACTACTCCCAGCCTTACTCCCGAGGGGCCGTGGCCAAGCCTGGCCCACTGTTTCCTGTGAGGTGGCCCTGTGCTGCAGGCGGGGGGCAAATTAGAGGCCAGAGATCCCACTGGGCATTGCTGTCCGCGTGCCCAGAGGTTCTGCTGAGCACCACCGCTGCAGGGCTCTGGCTGCAGGGCCCGCAGGCTGCAAGGGCTCATCGGGTCCTGAGACCACTGCCCAGACGGCACGACCAGCCCAGGAGGAGCCTGTGCTCGGAGGGGAGGAAGGACAGGTCACAGAGGCTCAGAGCTGAAAGAAGGCACAAGAGTCCTTGAGGCTGATGACTACTGTACTTGGTCCTTTCCATGTTAATGGCACCGTGATGGGACTGGCCTGGTTTTCCGTTCATCCCAGAGAGGAATTCCTTTCCGTGCCTAATTATGCTATAAAGCTAAACAAAAAAAAAAGGAAGAGGAAAGGGAGAAAAGCACTCCCTGCATTTATAAAGCACTTCCTCTAACGTCCTATGTATCATGAGGGTTCTGACCCCTCCAATCACCCCGAGACACCGGCTGGAGCTGGCTGTCAGCGCCCACGGGGAACTCCTCCAAGCAGGAGGAAGAGAAGAGGGTCCTCTTTGAGTCTCAGAGGTGAGGATGTTTTGTCCATTAAGGCCTTGAGTTGGGATTACTTGACAGATCAACTCAAGTGCCCCAAGGGCTGACGGAAGCATGCTGGTGTGTCCCCCAGAATGCTCCAGAACCAAAGGAGAACCCCCACCCCACTCTGGAAGACCAGATCCTGATGGACTTTGCTATGGCACCTCTCAGAGACCCAGGGGCACCTCTCCTGCCTGAATGTCCGCATCAGGCCCCGGGTCTTCCCAGGTGGCCCGGAAGGGCCAGGATGACAAGGGCAGGCAAGCTCTGGCGGCATGGCTGCGGGGAAAGCAGGAGCAGGCCAGGGAAGGGGCTGACTCCTGTGAGGCTGGGAAACAGACTGCAGGGCGGCCTCTGCTGCGGCTGTGTTTGGAAGGAAGCTGTAAAGCCTGCTGATGCCCGGGCTAACGTGGCTCTGTGACTGGCGAGGCCTCCAGGACGCTTCAGGAAGGCTGATCACCTCACCCTGCGGCTGGTCCACAGGAAGTGGATGCGCCAGTACGTCCTCGTCACTGGCTGAAAGGGGATCCCAGAGCACATGTGGATGCTTCATGAATATGACATGTAAGCGCCAACTCAAAGCTAAAATGTTCCCCAGTTCCGCTGGGCTCTGAGAATCCCGGGATTAGGTCTTGCCTCTATTCAAGTCTTCCGTGGGAGATACACTAGATCTGGAAGCCACGGGCCTCGCCAGCAGGAGGGGGGACACTGCTGAGCAGTTCCCTTCTCTCAGGCCGAATTTCAGGCCCTGCACTGGCAAGAGTATTTCATGTATCAGAAAGCTGAGCGGGAACAACCCTCTACCTGGCACCAACGGGGAGAATTCCTGCCACCACTCCCAGCCCCAAAGGAACTGGTGAGCCAAGGGTCACTCTAAGGACCCAGGACAGAGGAAGCAGCCGTTGGCACCCGGCTGTTGAGATTAGTGTGTAACGGTGGGGACAACTCACAGGGCAGGCACTTTAGTGTGATCATTAGTGTCCATGAGGAAATAAGGACTTGCCGCAAAGGGATGGAAAAGGCCCACGTGAATAAGATACTTACTCTCTCGATATCCTAGGGAGGAGTCATTGAAAGAGAGACCCGTGGGAAACAAGGTGAAAATGGAAACATCAGTCTCTGTCTTGGTCTGGACAAAGTTGTTCTCTGGGCTCTTAGCTTCCCGCCTCCGTCCAACACACACCTCTGCCTCCTGCTCTTGCCCAGTCCCCACCGCCTCCCCTTCGACATCCCATCACACCGCATCGCGGGAAGGATACACTTAGCCTCCCTGCGTAAGGCTCCATTCTGACCTAGACTCTGGTCCTTGCCTTCCTAGGACCTGAGACCTGCTGGACTGGCCTTGTACGCAGACTTGCCACACTGCCCACATGCAGGAAACCCTCCTACGAGGTTTCTGAGAAGCTGGGAGCTCACTAGTTGGAAGACAAGGAAAAGCTTCCCCTTTACATGGGTCTTGGTCGTGGGCCTGCCAGCTCTCCACTAGGTCAGCAAACGTCAGAGCCGGGCTGCAGGCACAGCAGGTCCCAGCATCGGTGACAGAGCCATGAGAGGCTCTGGAGCTGGCCAGCCCGGTCTCCGTGGCAGCAACCTTTGCCGACGAGTGACTGCTAAGGCAAGAACCAGAGAGCTTTCCCCACCAGCTTCCTGGGCAGTCGGCACAGTAAAACTCAGTTTGTCAGGAGGGGGCAGAGTGGGTTCTGAAGATTTCAGGGGCTTCTCTGCTGGGAACTGGGGAGACCACTCTCCGTGGGGCTGCTCTATCTGTCATCACATTCCACGTGGCTGGGGCCAGCCTCATGCTCACCAGGCTGGCCGGAGCCCCAAGCTCAGGCATCTTCCTTTCTCCTCCTGCATCTCTAACTAGAGCTACACTGCCCCGCTGAGCTCCAGGTAACGGCGGAGTCCAGCTGGCCGGGGCCTGGCCTCGCCGTGGGCTTCCTGGGCTGCCCAGGGCCGTGCAGCCTCATCGCTGTCTATTCCAGGTATCGGCCGAGACAGACTCCCCCTCTCTACCACCCCGTCACCACCCCGTCCCCACCCACGCCCCACTTCCCAGCACAGGCCACCGGCCGGGCACTCACTTCTCCAGCAGGGCCAGCGCCGTGACGGGGCTCACCCGGAGGTACTTGCAGTTGGGCTGACCGTAGTCGGCAAGGTAGGTGGACCAATCCCACTGGATGAAGAGATCCAGCAGCTGGAAAACACCGAGTGCCCCCCGGGTTAGTCAGGCAGACAGACCCCACCGAGTTTCAGCACCCAGCTCTCCCAGCAGATTTGGAAGCAGAGATGTCACAAGAGGAAGACTGGTCACGCACTGTAACGCGGCTGAGAAATCAGCACGGCGTCACCAGCCCGCAGTCCCTCGCCATCGGCCCTGCGGTGGCGCTGCGACCACGAGCCAGCAGCCCGCTCCCAGAGGCGGCCTGGGAGGCACCGACACTGCCCTGAGCGGGACTCGGGCCACCACAACGACCACACACTCACCCACCTACTAAATACCTGGCAAATGCCCTGCACGTGCCAAGCGCCATCCGAGGAGCTGGACTCCAACAACGGACAAACGGTGGACGCGCTGGTGCCACAGAGGTGGTCGTAGGAGGTTGGAGGTTACAAGATCAGGTTCAAGTGCCTGTTTCATGACTTGCTGCATTAACTTTACCCAAGTTACTCGGGTGAGAGGGACACAGACACATGCCTATAAATCAGCAGTTCTCATCCTGTGGTCGAATGACCCTTTCACAGGGGTCGCCAAAGACCATCGGAAAACACATATTTCCGATGGTCTTAGGGACCGAGACACCGCTCCTCTATCCATCCCCAGGCGGGTCTGCCCACATGCAGGTACACCCACATACAACATGAGGAGCTGTATTAAAGGGTCGCAGCATTAGGAAGGGCGAGAACCACTGGACACACAGGAACACGGCACACATGGGTCCTGTGCACTGATGGGAGGCAGCGTGCCGCCCGTGTGGGCACTGGGGGCGGGTGGGAGCCCGGGCCGTGGCAGGTCGTGGCTGAGGGCGCACACTCTGGAATTGGGTGTGAGAGTGGAGTGCCAACAACCAGTGTATTCATAAGAAGATAAGTTTCTGAGGGTAAACTGAGTTCTGAGGCCGGGGGGGGGGTGGGTTTCTATTTATCTTCAGATAGAGTGGGAGGGAGGGAGAGAGAGAGAAACATCGAAGTGAGAGGGACATCGACTGGTTACCTCCCACACGACCCCAGGGCCGGGGACTGAACCACAACCGAGGTCCATGCCCCTGACCGGAATGAAACCTGCGACTCTTTGGTCTGCAGACTGATGCTCTAACCGCTGAGCCAAAGTGGCCAGGGCAGCTGGGGCAGACTTTGACTTAGAGAAACTAAATGAATTTTGTCAAAGGCTTCCTTGTCAGCCAGTTAAGTCTCTGCCCCAGGTATCCCTCTAACGAACACTTACACATTCCACCTGAGCAAAGCGAAAGGAAAGCCTCAGTGCCTGTCACAGGAGGGGCGGTGAAAGGGCAGCTGCCAGCTCCCTCCATGAGCTTCCAGGGGGCACAGCCCCAGGCTCACGTCGGTGCCTGGGGGAGCCCTCTAAGCAGGCGCCAGCAGTGATACACCAAGTGCTTCTGGGCTCAAGACGTTTCCCTACTCTGTTTCTAAGCGATAAGGAGACAAGGAAATGGCTATCTCTATGTGCGCGAGGCCTAGAGCCCACCCCACGCCAGAGCCTGGGCTCCAGGCTCACCATCCGCCTGTCTTCACTGTGCGCAGGGCACACGCGCAGCGCGGGCCTTGCCTGCTCGGCCAAGACTCCTCTTCCATCCATTCTCTTAGAATAGCAGAACCTCCTCAGGCAGGATGGGAACTGGCTCAAGTCCCAAGCCTAGAACTGAGAAAGGCCCTTACCCCCAGCCAAGAAAGGGATGCTAAAGAGGAGGGGAGGGGAGTGGAGGGGAGGGAAGAGGAGGGGAGAGAGGCAGACAGACACCTTGGTTGGTCTGGGCCAACATGGTCCCAAGGGGCCCTCTCAGGGCCTCTTTGGGCCATGCCTATTTTAGCTGGCAAGTAAAACACCTTCTGCCACTTCCTGTCGCTGTCCCAAGGCTCACAGACCTCTCCTTCAGATGAGAAATGTCCCTGACTTCCTGTTCCAACTGGGATTTCTGTCCTATGGTGTGCAAAGACCACCACATTTTCCTGGCTGGGGACACCTGGATAAATCAGCACTGGGCTATGGAGGGCAGTTCACGATTTAGCCCTAAGGCTTTCTATTTTCATCTTCTGCCAAAGTTTCCTAAAGCTCTGGGATGACAAGCCACCTACTTTATCCACTCCAGGCTGGGAGCTACACACTCCATGAAGCTCCGCCAGAGTCTGCAGAGCACACTTTGGGTCTGTTGTTTCCACAGTCCTTACAGGTGGCCGATACCTAGGTCTTCGGGCCTCCTCTGGAGAGACGGACCTAGACCGGAGTGGGGGGAGGTACTTAACTAAGTCAGCTGCCAGGGGTCACAGTTGTATTGGATTCCAAAGAACAGTGTTAGAAAAGGGAAGGAAACCAGCAGGCCAGTTCGCCAGACTGACTTTCCCAGGTAAACCAGGCGCCCCAGCCTGGCTCTCCACTTACAGCAGCTTTGTTAGGGCTCGGCAGTGTCTCCCAAGGATGCGGAGCATTCCGTCATCACTCATAATCATTTATTTTTTTCATTTGAAAATAATCTCGCCCTGGCCGGTTTGGCTCAGCGGTTAGAGCGTCGGCCTGCGGTCCGGAGAGACCCGGGTTCGGTTCCCGCTAAGGGCACGTACTTCGGTTGCAGTTTGTCCCCGGCCCTGGTTGGTCGTGTGGGTGGCAGCCACTCGATGTGTCCCTTCACGTCGATGTTTCTCTCTCTCTCTCCCTTCTTCTCTCTCCCTTCCACTCTATCTGTACAAAAAGTGGAAAAATATCCTCGGGTGAGGATAAAAAAAAAAGAAAATAATCTCAAACTTATCAGAAAGTTGCAAGAATAAGGACAGTATAAAGAATACCATATGCCCTCATCCGGGTCTATCCACTGTCGACATGCCCCCATGCTCCCTCGCTGCTATTCTCTCTCCATGATATTTCTTTCCTGAGCCTGCTGAGAGTCAAGGATGCATGTCATTGCCCTTCATCTCCAAGTACTTCAGTGCGCCTAAGAATTAGAAATATTCTCTTACATAATTACAGTATAGTTTTCAACTTCAGTATTGAATATTGATAAATGTCAATATTCTAATTTGAGAAATTGGCTGAATACCATCTTACATAGTCTTCTTTTCTGACTCTACTATATCATATAGTTTAAGATAAGGGATTACGTTTGTCTATTTAGTCTCTTTAATCTGAACTATTTACACAGCCTTCTCTTTTTTTACATAATATTGACATTTTTGAAGTATATTGTCCCCTGACTCTTCCCCCCCTTGGTTTTGGTTTTTCTAATGCTTTCTCCCAACTTAGGACGTGCACTTCTGGCCAGAACACTACACACGCGATGCTGCGTCCTCCTCAGGGGACCATCTGGAGGCACCAGTGTGCTTCGTCTCTCACTGGCGATACCAATAGTGAGCACCTAGTCAAGGTGTTGGCTGACTTCTCCGCTGTTCAGGTGTCATATTTTCCTTTGCAACTAGTAAGCAACTGAGGAGCCTATTTAAGACCATGCGAATAGAGGGCTCCTAGCCGACATTTCCTTAGATTTCGCATCCACTGAAGATTCTTGTCTGAGTCAGTCTGTACTATGATGGCTGCAAACTGATGACTTTCCTCTCCTTCCACATTCAGCAGTTGTCACGCAGCATTCTACCGCACAAAGGCTCTCCCTCCTCCCCCGCATTTACCAACTTCCTACTGCTGTGCGCTCGTGGTTTCCCATTGTTCCATTGCCTTATGTTCATTATTATATCGAATTATTTTGATGCTCAAAATAATTGAACCTGGAGCCTGTGTCCTTGTGACATGCCACCATGACTTTGAGGACCAATTCCGTACTTTTTGTCATAATAACATGTTGCATCTGCCGGACCCCAGCTCTGCCATCAGCATTTCTCTGAGGCGCCCCGGTGTCTTTTAGTGCCATGGTATTAGAGACTGAGATTTGGGTGCTAGGTGTCCTCATTGCTACTGGAGTGTCTTTTATCATTGCTGCTGGGGACAATTTGTAGGGAGGTAAAGCCCTTTCAGCAGACAGAGTTAGGAAATATATGCATATAAACATACACACACACAGGCACACATATACACACATGTATAGTTATAATACATGCATATGCATACACACATGCACACACATACACATTCACATGTGCACACGTACCTATACATATACACACAATGCACACGTGTATCTATACACACATGTACAACACATGTGTACTTGTACATACACACACACATATAAACATGCACATGTGTACTTATACAAGTATGTGCACATGTTTTTAGAAATCATGGGTTTACAATACCTACAATTCAACCATTTTCCTAGAGTTCTTTCTTGCTTTCCCTTACCACATATAACTGTGCTTTCTTCTGCAGTGAGGTCCTGGCTCGCAACATCATTTCATTTACTAATCTGCTCAGTGCTATCATACATCTAAAATAGTTTCAGAATGGTTTGTATATACCATTCCCAAAAAAGCCTACTAAAAACAAAGAGTTCAAATTCATTTGCAGTGCCCTCTCCCACCTCCAGACTGAGTGTGTACAATCAAATGCTATGATCATAAGTCATTTGGATTGGTTCTTTTATGTTCCCTTCAGTTTAGTTATGATATTCACCTAAATATAACTGGGTTCATTTATTTTCATTTGCTTTTAGTTTTAGGCTCCTCCCTCAAATCTTTGTTAATTAAACATTTTAAATATGTAGGACATTACCATGCTTCCAAAAGTCAAAACTAATCAAAAAAGTTAATGCAGAGCAGTGTCCCTCCTTCCCTTGTATCCCCTTTGCCCCAGTTCTCTCCAGGACTTGCAGGTAGCCCGTGCCATTGTTTTGGGATTTGTCTTTCCTGTGTGCAGAGATGAGCTGATACACATAGGCTTCCTCACCTCCCATTCTTTCTTTCACATACAGTATTGTATGACATATGAACTTGAAGACATCTTACTTCTTGGTGTTTATAAGTAGGGAGTGGATAGAGAAGAAGAAGAAGAAAGAGGAGGGTCAGAGGGGGGAGGCT